GAGCTCGCATTCCGCTTTGGGATGTTGCGGTCACACCCAGCCAGTTTTAGTGAGCCCTGGGTGGTTTTAACTCAGGATCTTGTCAGGAACAAACCCATTTAATGTAGGAGAAGCAGCTTGGGGAGCATTTAATGCATATTTCAATTAGCTCCAAGATTTGTGGCTTTTTTTAGAAAATAGTTCAGCTTGGGGTTTTTTTTGTCTTTGCACTGCTGTGGGGTTTTCCGCCTGCCCTACATCTGAAGTGCAATAACATTGTGCTTTTCAGGATGATGGATCTGAGGCCACTTCCTCAATCTTTAAGCCTTAATTATTCACATAAAAATTATTCACATAAAAATTATTCCCATAAAACTCGGGAGTCACTGCAGTAATGCAAAGTGTTTTAACTTGGAACTCTTTTTTTTTTTTTGGTTTTTTTGTTACTGTGCTTGAACATTTGGCTCAACAAAAAGCTTTTTCACAAGTTGAATGTTGCAGCTCCTGCAGTGACAGCTGCCTGCACAAACTGTCCATTCCCTGGGGGAGGATTCCCAGCTCTGAGCTCTTCTGTGGAACCCAAAATGCCCAAGCAGCTGAATAATTTAGAAAGAATAAATGCAGCTGATGAAAGATTTAAGGGAGGCTCACCTAGGAAGAGAAACTTTTCTGACCCACAGTGATTCAAACATCAGAGCCCTTGAATAATCCTGTGCATGAATAACGGGTTTGACTCACATGCACACAGGCTAAATATGGCCTTTCCTCAGCTCCAGGGTCACAGGGCAGCATTTGCATATCCCAGGCTTTTAAAAAGGAAGAATTCCTCAAAAATGCAGCAGATTGGCTGTCTGAACAGTCAAGGAAAAATAAAGACTCTGATTGAACAGAATGTTTTGGCTCAGTGTTTTTTGGGAATTTGAAGGTGTTTATCACATTTGTAAGAAACAAGGCCTGTTTATGCTAATATCAAGCCTGAGATGCTGATAAGGGTTTATTTTTCTAATAGGAATGTCTTTATTTCCCCAAATGAAAATTCAGAGGTTTTGTCTGTAGAATATTGTGTTTTCTTGGTGTATCAAGTGACTTAAGCCTGGCTTGTGGAGTTGCTTTTATCAAGGCTTTATTGTGTTGTATGTCTCTGATTACCAAATGAAACTCAATGCAGATTCCAGAGAAATCTGCCCTTTCTAGAAAGACCATTGATACTAAACAATAAAAGTGTTTTTCAAGCTATTTTGGACATGTGTACATTCTGTTCAGCCTAAAGTTTCTTCAAAAAATTTCTCATCGGTGTAAATGCAACATTAGAGCAGTGCAACTTTTATTTCCTTTGTTGCCAGCTGTAGCTCTGTTAAGAAAAAATTTAAAAAAACTACAAAAGGTGATAGAATTTTATTTATTTGTTGTGTTAAATTGTTTTTTAATGTTTTTTTTTTAAAGTATTGACTTGGGAATTTGTAGGATTTTGTGAATTTGTAAGTTGTTAATATTTGGGTAATTGTTGGAGGTTGATTAGGTAAAGTTAGAATAATTTTTTTACATTTATTATTAGTATTTACATAAGTAAGGTTTTGAATAATATAAGAGTGGGTTTGTTTATTTGGATATTGTTTTTTGATTGTTTGAGTTAATTTCTTTAAAAAAGAATTCTAGGATTTAGTTTTATTTTGTTTGATTAGTGGATAAGAATTTAAAAGTGAAAATAAGGGCTTTTTTGTAGTAGTTTTAATGTTTGTTAAAATAGGTTGAGGTAGGTTTATTGTTTGATTTTTAGTTTTATGGTAAGGTGAGTTATTAATTAATTGAGTAACATTGTATCATTAATATTTGTATATTTTAAGACTAATTTATTAAGAAGTTTTTTTTTATTGTGAATTAAAATTAGAGAAGTTATATTTTTACAATTAGTAGGGATTGACCCCTAAAATTGTTTTGGCTTGCATTCTTTACCTCTGAGCCTTTCACTTGCTTTGCCTTGATTCCTCAGCTGGGCCACATTTTCTGACTCAGGCTCTGATGTGTAACTGTGACATCACACTCTGATAGGTGACATCACTGATAAGAAATCTGTTTTGAGGTGAGGTTGTGTTTGTGTTTTCATGTGAATTTGAGTCACTCAGAGGAAGTGGCTGCTCGAGGTGGGGATGGGATCAGGGCCCACAGAAGGAACTGGACCCAAAAGGATTTCTTTGACTTTTTCCTGTATTACTGCATTGCAGCCCAGCTTGCAGTAACTTCCCTGCAGGCTGGATTGCAACGAGTGGTAACAAATGTGGTGAAATTGTTGTGTGGTCCATTCAGAACTCCTCCTTTTGGAGCAGAAAATCCCAGAGCTTTTAGTAAAAGAAAAGCAAAGATTTCAAGTTGTTTAGCCCAGCTGAGTTTTTCATAACCAAGGAAAACACTAAAGTGTGATTAGAACCTGAAGTGATTTTTCACGTAACCTACAAATGCCAGGAATACTAAAAAAAAATTAAAATCAATGATGCTCAATTAACAGACATGAGGTAAGACAAGGATCTTTACCTTACCTGTTAATTGTGGAAATTTTAAAGTGTCTCTGTGGCCTGATTTGCTGGAAATCCTTTGCTTTGGAAATCAAGGTTAGTAATATTTGGAATATTTTGAATTT